CACCCCAGCCTTCCCTTGGTCCCTTCTGACTCTGACTATCTTTGGTCTGAAATATTCAAAAGGACCAGCAGGGAGTTGGGGGCTTGGTTGCGTGTTCTACAGTTTCCCAGGGCAGAGGTCACAGGTCTGTTGTCTCGGCTCGCCGAGCTGGACCCTCACCCTGGAGCTGACGAAAGATGCTCACCTGCACAGTTCAGATCCCTAACACCTCCGAGAGGCAGACAGGTCAGGGCCACATGCTCTGTTCTGCAGGAACTGAGGCAGGGAGCAGCATAGCCAGCAACCTGAGCTCTGGTGACCAAAGCCAGGCTTTGAGTCCCGGCTCTGCTATTTGCTAGCTCAGTGACCTTTGGTGAGCTGCTCAGAGGCTCAGAGCTTTGCTAATTCTTCTGCAAAATTATGCTGATAAGAGATGCCCCACCTTCCAGGGCCAGGTGAGGAGAAGAGGTGATCAGACATGCAAAGCCCAGCCCAGCACAAAGCTCAGCTCCCGACAGTTTCAAAATCAGCGTCCTGGCCACACCTTTTATCTGCAGAGGTGCTGATGGCTCCAGTCCGGTTATGCATCTAATTCTTCTAATTCTCTCCACAGCAGTGTGAAGTAGATATGGGGCGCTGATAAGCTAAGCAAATTGCCAGGGTTACGGAGAGGGAGGGCAGGTCCGGGGCGTGTCAGGCATCTGGCCACCCAGCCCTGTGCCCAGGCTGCCAGGGAAGAACTCTGGGCCCACAGCACCCCGGGGTGAGCTTTCTCTACCCAAGACGCCTGTGAGCCGAGCTCCGACTGCTGTCCCTTCCCCTTGATGCACCTGGCTCAAGGTGACACAGAAAAACTGTTGAAAAAAGTTTGGCAGTTTCTAACACATTAAACAGAGAATTGCTGTATGACCCAGCAAGCCCCTTCTGGGTACAAACCCCAAAGAACTCAAAGCAGGGACTTGAAACATCTGCACACAACATTCATAGCAGCAGGATTCACAACAGCCAGAGGGTGCAAGCAACCCGAGTGCCCCCCACAGACGCATGGATAAACACAAGGTGGCCCGACCCCACGAAGGAGTGTCACTCAGCCATACTCAGGGAGGGGATTCTGACACTGGATACAACCTGGATAAACCTTGAGGACATTATGCTCATGCAATCAGCCAGTCACCAAAAGGCAAATACTTCTGAGTCCATTGATATGAGGTCCCTGGAGGAGTCAGATTCAGAGGCAGAAAGGAGGTGTTGGTGTTCATGAGGGACAGAGCCAGGGGCTGGGGGAGGAGGACAGGGAACCGGTGTTTAATGAGACAGAGTTTCGGTTTGGGAAGATGGTAAATTCTGGAGATGAGGATGCAGTGTGGTTGCACTTAAATGTCACTGAACTGCTCACTTAAAACTAGTTACGACGGTGGATTTTATATGTACTTAACGGCAATTTAAAAGGCTGCAAATAATGGGCTGAATCTCCCCTTTCTTCGGATGTCCTCGAGCAAAAAGAAGTGTCACCCATTTCTTAGTGAGCTCTGGCTCGGTGTAGACACATCCATACCAAAGCCGTACCCTTCTCTTGACTTTCGCACAAGGGTGCTGTTGGGAGCGTCTTCTCACCGAGGCCAAGCAAGGGAAGTTGAGAAGAAGGCAGTTAAGGTATTTGCAAAGTCTCTGCAGCCTGGGAGGCCCTGCCCCAGGCTGAGCTCTCATTTTGCCCTGAGGACTAGAAGTGAATTTATATGCAGCCCTTTTTCTAATTATTATTACTATTAGGCCAAGTAAGTTCTTAACAGCTGGGCTGGTGGCTCTCCTTCATGGGAGAAGAAGACCGATGGGGGTAATACATTTTTGGTAGGTGGAGAAAGATCACAGCCGGGAGGGTGTGCGGCCTCGGACTAGCTGGTCTCCGTTCCGAACCGAACCTTTGTTCTGTCGCTGGTGAGGACGTAAGGTAGAGCCTCCCATAGGATAAGAACGTGGGTTTGTTATTTCATGATCCCAAGCATTGTGCTCCAGGCCTGTCCAAACCCCTGCCAGGGGGCTTGCCATCTGGGGTGCTGGCGCTGTCCTGTAGAGGTCGACATCAACCCCCCAAAGTAGTTTCTATCATGCCCATTTTACAGGTGGAGGTGAAACAGCCTGACCTTCTACAGCTAACAGGCGCGGGGCCTGCATTCGAACCCACAGCAGGAGGCCACAGAGCCCGGGACCTCCACGGGCCCACAGGCTTCCTTACACCCCAGCTTCTGAAAACCACGCACCCTGGGATATAAGCAGGGCCAATTTCAAGTCCTCAATGGGGCTGGATCTGGGAAAAATCACGTCACCTTAGTCCAACTATTCCTTTCAAATAAAAAGGGAAAAACCCCAAACCAGTGTACAGCGTCCTATGGGGGTGGACTGCGCAGGCACCTCCTGCCCGTCCCAGACACTGTGAGGGGTCAGACCCTGCAGCTGGAATCAGAAGCTCTGTGGGCAGAGGGGCCCCAGGCTGCACTTAGCCAGGCAGCCATGTACACACAAACACCTGCTGAGCACCTACTGTGTGCCTGGCACCATTAAAGGCAAGGGTACAGCTGGGAGCAAGACAGCTTGAGTCACTCCATGCAGTAACCAGCGGAGTGGGGCCCCAGCAGGTAAATGAAGAGGATTCCCTGCGGGCTGTGAAGAGCCTACGACCAGATGCGCTGGCTTAGGAGCATGGGGGGAACACTCCCTGAGTGGCTGCTATTTGCGGGGAGGCCTGCATGGGGAGAAGTCATCCGTGGAAACATCTGAGGGGAAGTCTTCCCATGGGAAGGTTGAAGAGATGGAAGGACCAGTGTGGCAGGGGCGTGGGGCACGGACAGGGGCTCAGAAGCCCTGGGTGCCTCATGCTGGGTTCTTCACCTGCCGCTGCTAGGCAGGCCCTGGCTGTGCGCCTGTTGGCTCCACTGGACAGCAGAGGGGCCGAGGCCTGTAGAAGCTAAGGGCAGGCTGAGGGGCCATGAGTGGGGCGGCTAGAGATTCCCAGGTCCTAACACCCTGCTGGCTGCCAGTCCTTCTGAGGACAGTCCGTAAGGGTGTCTACTATGCATGGTGGGCGAGTCCTAGGAGATGAACCAGCCCAGGGTCCTTCACTGAACCTGCCAGCAAACTGGGGAGGCAGGCAGGGAGCTCCCTGTGGGGGTGTGGGGGACCCCAGGGCCACACCTCACCGGTTGCTGGGGAAAGCCGTCAGAGGGCCTGGGTCCCACGGCCCCAGACTGAGGCAGAGGACCTTACCTCCATGCTAATCTGCAAATGGAGAGTCAGGGACCCAGAGACGGAAGGCCTCACCGAGCCAGACGCAGGGCTGGGCAGTTTCTCGGTCTCCTGTGTTTGCGCCCTGACCCAAACTATCTTCTTGGCACCAGATCCGCAGGTGCCTCTTGCGGGCAGGGTCCCAGCAGCAGTCATGAGCAGACAGCTCCAGAAGACCCCTGCCTGTGTGGGCTCTGCTCAGGCACGCTGTAGGCCCAGAGGGCAGCAAGGAGCCTCATGGAGGAGTCCACTGACCACTTCTGGTCCTGCCCAGGTCACTCACTGACCCCTGAGTCCCCCTGGCTCTAGGCCTCAGGATGGAGAGCTCACACTTCCCAGGTCCCCTCCAGTGGTGTGCGTGAATGAGCCCCCCAGAGTTCAGAGGTTGTGTCCAAGGCCTCCCCAGGCAGGAAAGGGGTGGGAAGTGGGGGAGACTGAAATGGCTTTGGTCCTGGGTGCCGCTGGCAGCAGAGGCAGGGTGGGCGCCCTGGCCCCTGCAGCTGGGGCTGGGTGGGGTCTGCTGGGAGGTGGCAGCAAGACCCCTCTGGTATCACAGGGAGCAGGGATTTTCACTTGTAGGTGGCCCCCGGCGGGCCTCAGGTGAGCCCCGCCCCCACCAGGCCATAATGGGCACAGTAGTGGGGCAGGACCGCAGTTTCGGGCAGGGCTGGGGGCAGGACTTCCAGGGGCCTGGCCTGGGTCCCTGCTGGGTTGGGAGCTCTGGCTATGGCGCCTGAGTATTCCTGCTGCAGACTCGAAGAGGAGGCAGGCAGTGAATGCCGCCTGTGGGCCTGTGACTGCCACCTGTCCTTGCCAGAGGTAGGGGCGTGTAGGGGCTGCAGGGCTGTGGCGTCCCCTGGGTGCACCCCCACTGCCTCACCCCTGCCTTCTTCCCCTTAGCAGGGTCACCCCACGCACCCAGCTACAGCCGTGCCTCCGCCGGTGTACAGAGCTCCATCTCGGCATCAGCCGGAGCCCAGGACCCAACCCAGGGCCTTGCCTGCCCAGCCTGTAGCGCCGGGGCCTTCCCTCCCGCCAGACCTCCGTGCTGCGTTACCCACCGCTCAGGCCCAGGCGGTCCTCACGGTTCCAGCAAAGCAGCAGGTTCCCGGAAGCCCCTGAGAAGCCAGGAGCGGGGCCGGGGCTGCGGGGGCGGCTTCGGGCGGCACCCAGGCCGCTTGAGCGGAGGCGGCGACGGGACAGGCGAAGTGCAAGGGGCAAACCGGCGAGAAAGCGGGAGCCAGGGGCGGGACAACCAGGTCCGTGGGCCGGGCGGGGCCCGGGCTGGGGACCCCAGGACCCTCCAGGTGGCACTCGCTGTGCTCGTCCCCGGCCGCCTCCCCCCCTCCCCCGGCCCTGATTGGCAGGCGACCTGTGACCAGCCGCCAGCGCTGCAGCGCCCCGGGCGCCCGGGCGAAGCGAACGGCCCCCTGCGGGAGTAGGAGGGGGCGCCCGGCTATATATAGCGGCCCGGCGGCCGCCGGCCCAGCGCGCAGGGAGGCGCGCACCGCTCCGCAGGCCCCCAGCCCGGGCCGCGCGTCCTCCGGCGGCTGCCCGCGACCCATGCAGCCCGGGTAGCTCTCCGTGCCTGGGCGCCGCGTCTCACCTGCCGCCCCTCCGCGGCCTCGCACTCCCGTCCCGCGCAGGCCGTGCGCCCCCGCGGGCCGCCCCAGGCGCAGCTCGGGTCCTGCTTCCCGGGGCGCACGGGGACCGACTGACGGGCGCACGGCTCGCGGGCCGGGATGGCGGGGCCCGGGGCGGCCACGGCGGCGCTGCTCCCGGCGGTCCTGCTGGCGGTGCTGGCGCCCTGGGCCGGCCGAGGGGGCGCCGCCGCGCCCACCGCGCCCAACGGCACGCTGGGGGCCGCGCTGGAGCGCCGCTGGGAGAGCCTGGTGGCGCGCTCGCTGGCACGCCTGCCCGCGGCCGCGCAGCCCAAGGAAGCGGGCGTCCAGAGCGGCGCGGGCGACTACCTGCTGGGCATCAAGCGGCTGCGGCGGCTGTACTGCAACGTGGGGATCGGCTTCCACCTCCAGGTGCTGCCCGACGGCCGCATCGGCGGCGTGCACGCGGACACCGGGGACAGTGAGTGAGGCGGCCCGGCGGGAGGGTCGGGGGCCCGGGCAGCGGCCGTCCCTCCCCACGCGCACCCGACGTCCAGACTGGCACCTGCTCGCGGGCGCTGGGAACCGGGGCCGACCCAGGGTCCGGTCCCTCTGGCGCCGGGACGCAAACACTCTTGGCTGCGGAGCGGCCCCCGGCGACAGGGCTTTGCGCACCCCGGCGGCCGCGCCCCGCCTCCCCGCCTTCGGAAGCTCGGGCTCCGGCAGCCGAATTCCAGCGCCTTCGCCCGTGGGCACGGAGCGCGCGCGCGGCTCAGCCACCGGCACCCGCGGGGGCCTGGGACGCGCGCCCAGGTCGGGGCCACGCTCGGGGGCCACCTCGCTCTTGAGTCCGGGACTGGGCACGGCCGCCAGGACCCCAGGCAGGCGAGTCCGCGCCCACGCCCGCTGGGCTCCGGGGGCCTCTTTACCCCCACCGCCCCCACCCAGAATTGGGGGTCCCGGAGGCGCTCAGGTCTAGGAGGGGCTCCGGGACGGTGGGGCGGGCCAGGGTCCCCTGACGAGGAGTGACCCGCGCCCCGCCCCCAGGCCTCCTGGAGCTCTCCCCGGTGGAGCGGGGCGTGGTGAGCATCTTCGGCGTGGCCAGCCGGTTCTTCGTGGCCATGAGCAGCAAGGGCAGGCTGTACGGCTCGGTGAGTACAGGGCATCTGTCAGTATTGGGCTGGCGCGCGCCAGCGGGATCACCACCCCTCCAGACCCACCTGTGCCTGAATCGTGGAACTGCGAAGGGGTCGCAGGATTGGCAGCGCCACCTGAGCCCCCTGCCAGTGTTACGAGGCAGTGCCAGTAACCAGGGCCAGCCCAAACAAAGGGCAGAGGCCCAAGACAAGATCAAGGAGGTTCCTGCCATCCTGGAGTGGGCACTTCCTAGTTGGTCAAGGGGTGCCACTGGGAACCACTTTCTGTAGCCCCCCCACCCAGTGGGCAGGACCGCAGTCTTCAGGGTGGACACAGTGGCCATGGCCTTCTGGCTGCCAGGTGCCTGACAGGTGTCTGGAGCACTGGCTGCTGTGGGCGGGTGGTGTCCCTGTCCCTACTTTCACTCTGTGAGGGGCTTGGCACCCCGACTTCCCAGGAGAGACCTCTCAGCCAGAGCATGGCTGGAACAGAAAGGAGCCCCTGAGCAGTGGCCCCCAGTGCCCACTGGCCAGGAGGCGGCCCCCCTAATGCTGCCCTTTCGCCTCCCAGCCCTTCTTCACTGATGAGTGCAAATTCAAGGAGATACTCCTGCCCAACAATTACAACGCCTATGAGTGCTATAGGTACCCCGGCATGTTCGTGGCGCTAAGCAAGAACGGGAAGACCAAGAAGGGCAACCGAGTGTCACCCACCATGAAGGTCACCCACTTCCTCCCCAGGCTGTGACCCCCGGGCCCTGCCTCAGTCTCGGGAAGCCGCTGGGAGGGCAGCGCCATGGGCAGCCTGGTACATTTCACTTGGATGGACTGTGTGATGCGAGAATAGGTGTAAGATATTTAAATTAATTATTTAATGTGTATATATTGTCACCAAATTATTTATGGTTCTGTGGGTGTGTTTTGTATTTTTTCTGGGAAAAAAAAAGAAAAGAAAAGAAAAAAAAAAGAACCCAAACCCAACCCTCACTTTTCTGGTAAGTCACTGGATTTATTTAACTTGTCAAAAAGTTGTCACAAGTGTGCTGCTATTCTGTGTCTGTGTCTTAAGAAACGGTGATGTCAGACTCGGGTCTCAGCCCCCCTTTGCCCCTGTATTTTGGGGGCAAGCACCCTGTCTGGAGAAGCCTGCCTGGGGCTTTGGGAGCCAGTGAGGGAGCCCCCACTCTGCTTTGTGCCAGCACCCTCCAGGGCCACCCTCCCTCTGAGCCCTGTTGCTATTCATCAGGACGTATCGGTTTACTTCGGGCACAGCGAGCGCGCGCTGTGGGAGTCCACTCCGTTTTTAGATCTGCCAAGATTGACCTTTGAACTTTCCCTGTAGTCAATTTTCCTCCATCTACCAGACGGGGGAGACCCTTAGACAACTTTATAAACTCCTGTTTTCCTTTTTTTGGGTCAGCCACAGCCCCTGTTTCTCTGGGACCATTGGAGGGGAAAGCAAAATCGAAGCGATTTTTAAAAATCCCACAGAAAGGAGTCGACATGCCACTGGCAGGCTGGGAATGGACAGGATGGGTATTTGCAACCCTAATCCAAACCCTAGTGATGAAATACAATTTGTAACAGCAGATACGTAAGAGAATATATGTCTTTCTTAAGGCATGCTTTCCCTGCCTGGGAAGCTTCAGGTTAGAATTAGCTATTACTTTTTATGAAATGTCCTTGTACTTATACAGAGACACTTGATGCAGGGTTTGCACGGAGGAAGATGCAGCTTCCCTCCGTTGCATTCCCTGATTAAGCAGATTTCTCATCTACCTCGAAAGCCCTTAAGCCCCTCAACTGGCAAAATCTGCCGAAAGCTGAGACCATGTGTGCGGAGTTTACCATCCTGCGTGCAGGCTATTTTTCCATATGCAGCCAAAAAGGATTGCAGATAGCGTCGGTGCGTCCCATTCAAACCTTGTCACGTTTGAGCTATCTTTACCCCGTGATTTACTTTTAGTAAGGATAATCATGGTGAAAATATTTGCAGACAGCTGTTAGGTGACACTATATGGTCACCAAGTAACCTTAGATTTTTCTTTATATATTTTACAAATGTAACCCCTGTCGTTGAAGCAAAGATGGAAGAGACAGGGTCAGTGATGTTTAAAAAAAGTTCTGAGGTGATGGCAAACATTTAATTTTAATGAATGACTTTTTAGAGTTTATACAAAATGACCTTCGCTTGCTACCAGAAATGCTCTGAATATTTCGTCAAGACTTTAATACTCTCCTAGGATGTTTCTGAACTGTCTCCCGAATTAACTTTATGGGAGTCTACAGACAGCAAGACTGAAAAATCTGATTGGAGTTTTTGTCTTTCACATTCCTTTTAAAAACTCATTGTCCAAATGCAAATCATCTACTTAAAACACTCTTCTTGAACTGAGAAACGAGCCCTGTGGAAGCCTCACGACTGGATTGTATGTCTTAAACTACTGTTCATGCAAAGTCATACAAATGCTGTAAAAAAAATTTTAAACTGCATCCTAGACCCCAGGACTAATGGGGAGAGGGGATGCATGGATCTCCGTGCTGCCTGGGGGAGGGGGCTGGCATCTGTGCACATTCTGTGTTCAGGCCCATATGGCAACAAACGGTGATCATCTTAGACACCTCAAATTTTTGCACCACGTCTTGTCTCAGCGCTCAGTCAACCTGTCAGGAATTAAGATGTCTTAAGTGCAGAATTCTGTCATTCTTGACCACTTGTATATAATTCAGTGAGTCATGTGTGAAGCGTATAGAGATGTAATTGGACCTTTGAAATATTGTAAAGTGTTTGTGTTGCTGTGGTGGGGATTTGAGGTTTCTGTATTTACCGCTGTTTTCAGAATCTGTCTGTAGTTTTATACAGGTGCCGACCCATATTGTGACGTATGTGCTGTGCACATTGAGATGCCGAATAAATGGAAACATCATGTAAAAAAATAACCCCATTGAGTTGGATGTAATTAATTGTGAAAGGTATGGAAAATGATTAAAACCTGTCTTGCAATACTAAGATATGGCTCCCTCCCCCATCTTTCAGTGTCTATTTGAGGCCTTGAGCATTGCATGGCTGGGGGTGGGGGTAGGGGAGGCGAATTTTAGCCAGCTGTGTCCACACAAATGTGGCCTTGAAGACAGGAGCCTCCGGGGGGTGTAGGCGTCACAAAGTTCTGTGATGACTCTGAATCTTGCAGTTTATTCTCATGATGGGGCTGGTTGACGCCATTTGCACACTGGAACCAGGCAAAGCTCTGTGCCTGGGCCTTGGCATGATTCAGTCGAAAGCCACTGGCACTTTCCTGGGGGCGGCGCTTGAAGAAGCCCCCAGAGCTGGTCATCGGAAGATTGACGTAAGCATATTTTTTAAACTCCTGAGTAGGCCCTTCCAGGGAGTCTTAAAATTAACAAGATGAACTCCAACTAGCCTTTATAGAAAGGAAATCGGATAATAACATACAGAATAGAAAATTGCAGAGGCTGTCGATCACCGCAAGGGTATAGATTGCTTTTGAACATTATCTGTACTATGTACGTAGAACTAGCCTCTCCTAACGTGTGATACAGAATGTGTTTATTAGTGTGGATTGCAACAAAATTAAGTGCTGACCTAATGTGCCTAGAATATGGGCTTTCCCTCCCCACCCCCAACTTGACAGAAAGACCCAAAGAGACCGTCAGGGCCACAGGGTCCCTAACTGCACCTGTTTTGCTCTTGGAGACATGCCACACCCATCCTTGCCTTGTGACACCCGTGATCTAGGAGTGACAAACATACGGTCAGGGTTCTGGGTTAAATTGTATGTCCACAAAAAGTATGTTGGGAGTCCCTAACCCTCAGCACGTAATGTGTGACTTTATTGGAAATAGGATCTTTAAGGAAGGTCTGGAGGGGGTGGGCACGGGGACAAGGCTATGGGAGGTGGGCAGATTCGGGTGCTGGCATCTACAGGCCAAGGGACGGCAAAGAACACGCGAACGGCCAGCAGCTGGGGAGGGGCCTGGCAGGTGCTTCCTCCGTTTCCCAAGGAACCAACTGGCCACACCCTGGTCCGGGACTCCGCCTGGAGCTGGAGACAGGGGGCCCTCATTGGTGGGCTGTTACTGCCGCCCCAGAGCTACTACTACCAAGAAGGTAGCTACTAACGTTCACGGGGGTGCTGGGGGCAGGAGTGAAACCCCGACGGATGCCAGCCCAGGCCCTCTGCTGTCCCTGCGGCCTCCGCAAGGTCTCCGTCCACATCTGTCATGGCCAAACGTGGAAGACCTCATCCAGCTCCTGGCATGAGCACCTGGCATTGCTGGCAAAGCCTGTCTGCTGAACCGATGGGCCTTCCAGCCTCGAGACAGACGCATGACAGGCCCAAAGGAGGACTGAAGAGCCACCCATTCACCCAACACGCATTTGCTGCCTGCCTACTCTATGCCAGGCATGGTTCTAAGAGCTCAGGACACCATGTGAGACCAGGGGTGGGGTAGGGGGCTCCTTATGTGATGAGGATGGTGACACTAAAGCACCTGGCAGGCGGGCGGTGCTGACACTACGAGAGAGCAGAGAGAGCGCAAGGTGGGGAGGCAAGTGACCCGCCCTCCCCGGGGAGGTGACCTGTGAGGGGAGACTCAAAGGTGCTGAGGGAGGAAGCTTTGCAGGGGAAAGTACTCCTGGCAGAGGGAACGGCCAGTGCAAAGGCGCCCAGCAGGGGTAAGTCTGGTACTTTGGAGGGGCCTCAGGCAGGCCGCTGGGGCTGGAGTCTTGGGAGCAGGGGGGAGGTGAGGTCAGAGAGACTGCAGGGGAAGCTGTCTCAGAGCCCTAGGGGCCAAGCGGGGCGGGGACACTTCAGATGGGGCTGAGGACAGACGGCCGAGGAAGAGCTGCGGGATTCGGGCTGGAGGGGTGCTGGTCAGGCACAGTCATGTGGGGGGGCCCTGGGGTTCCCCACCCTGCCTCCGTGCAGAATGGAGGCCCTCTGGTGGGGGCAATGGGTCCCCTCCTCGGGGGGGCTGGGACCTGCCTGCCTTCTGAAGGCACCATCCCGGGAGACCCGGGAATCTGGCCTCCGACCCGGCTGCCCGGGCCAGCTTGTCCTCGTCAGCTCCAAACTGTGCCTGTCCAGGGCCCTTGGGCTGAGTCTTTCCTCACTGTGAATAGTTTCTAATTGTTCTTGATCTATAATTCAAATCTTAAATGTTTCTTTATAAAATAATGGGGACCGGGAGGGGTGCCCTCACTGGGCTCCCCATCCTCCAGGGGCCTTCTCGAACCTTCCATCCTGCCCCTTGCTGAAAGTCTCCCCAGTCTCCCCTTTCCCTCGTTGGTGTCAAGATCGCAGCCCTGGGCACGGCCTGAGGGGCATTTCTCCCTTACTGCTGCATAACAAGCTATCCCCAAACCAGTGACTTGAAACAACTATTTTCTTAAACCTCACACATTTGTACAGGACCCGGCAGGTGGCTCTGCTTTTCACGGTGTCAAGGGACTCAGCTGTCAGATGGCTCATCTGGGGAGAGCCATAATTCTTACATGGCAACTTAGAACTCCCAGGGAGAGAACTCAGAGAGGCCTGGGCTTCTTAGGGCCTGGCCTGAAAAGTTCCAGAACATCACCTGTGACACTTGCCATGCAGCCCAGCCCAGATTCCAGGAGAGAGAATAGCACAGAACTTTCTGCCACCTGTGGTCTGCTGCAGAGGCCCTGTTTGCCCTCGCTAGGCCTGCCTTACCTGTCCCCCACGCCGTACCCTGGAGTGCGCCCCTGCTCCTGTCACACTGGCATTCTCTCAGGGCCCAAAGGCACATATATTCAGCTGGCCCAGACTGGTCCCGCT